CCCCAACAAAACAAACAACAGCAACAGAAAACAACCCCCCACCAAAAAACAACAGCACCCCAAACAACAACACAACAGAATAGAACAAAATAAAAGAAAACGAAACAAGAATGTTGATTTTCCTCTTTTTATTCATACATCACATAATTTGAAGTCCTCAAGGGAAAAGCGGCATTTGTCACAGGAAAAAAAGTATGTTGCGGACTGCTGCTTTTCTGATAGATAAGTCGATCCTCCTCTAACGACCACATTTTCCAAGATAACCACCTGTACACACAGTCACATCTCACTTCCCCTTTGCGATTTTCCCTCTATATTTACAATGCCAATGTCAAAGAGGACCTTTTGTCTAAGAAAACCACTTTTTTCCTCGACAATGGATGGTCGACCTGAACAGGTCCGAATGTAGTCATACGGACCACAACCGTTCTGTCCATGCACTACTGCACCAGATTTGTTACTTTATAATACCTTACAACATCCGTTTCAGATCTGAAAAAAAAAAATGATGGACAAAAACGGAACAAGCTAAATAATAGATCAAAATAGAAAGAAGGCAAACATTTCCAATTGTGTTGATTATTTTCTCAAGTACTCTTTTTTTACTCTTGAACAATACTGGTGTAGCATGTTGCACCCACAGCAACTGACTCTCAAAGTCTACTTATCAATAGGGGTACCTTCTCATTCCCGTCATCATATCCACTCTGGCTTCCATTTCTCTAGTAACAATATAATTGTTTTTCTCTCTCACTCTCACCATAGTGTAATTTTCATCCCAAAAGTCGGTTTCTATCTATTGAATATGAAATTACAACACGGTAATATCTTGGTGGAATGTGTTTTACTCCCCATCGATCCAATTTAGATCCCACATATAAAAGCAGTAGTAAGATTGCAAATTTTTTTTCTTTTTTTGGGGGGAAAAGCAATCTCAATTCAAAGAACGAGAGTCCCCTAATGAAGCATTTTGCAAAGCATGACTAACAGTAAGAGCAGTAAAATGTCAAAAGCTTGTAGGATCTCGCACCTACTTAAGCTTTGCGTGAAAGAAAAACGGGCTGGACAAAAAAGATAAACAGTGTTGTTTCTCTTCACTTGACTTTATCCTCCACATCAGGCTTAATGGCGGGTGTTAAGGAGCTGAAATCGTAATTTGGTGACGACGAGACCACATCTTTTCCTGAAGACAAAGGTTCGTCCTTCACCCCTTCCTCGCCGCTCCCGCTTCCCCCGCCATCTTTCTCCACCCCGGAAATGACATCATCAAACTTCCTCTTCAGAATGACGTCATCCTTGGAGTCCTCTCCCGCCGCGTCCAGTTCGTCTCCTAGCGACGGCGGGGTGGACGGGGAGAGGGCCCCATCCTCGGACGTAGACCTGTCCCTCGGCCGACGTTTGGCTTCATCCTTCTTCCACTTCATTCTCCGGTTCTGGAACCAGATCTTGATGTGTCTTTCCGTGAGCGCCAACATGGCGGCCAGCTCGATGCGGCGCGGTCGAGAGATGTACTTGTTGAAGTGGAACTCTTTCTCCAGCTCCAGCAGCTGGCCTCTCGTGTACGCGGTCCGGGTTCGTTTGTTTTCATCTTCAAGAGAGAACTGCGCACCTGCAGGTGAGACAAAGAAAAAATGTAAGAGATGAACCGGCTGGATGGAGAGAAAGAATGAGTATCTGGCAAGTGATCGGAGGGATAAATATCTAGCAAACTATGCTGCTAATGGGTATCAGAATGAATCTTGAGGCAGTGAGAGAACAAATACCACGAGCATATGTTATTATGTCAAGTGAGTGATAGAACGAAGCGAGCGCCAGAATGAGTTTCAAAGGGGTGAAAGAACAAATTTTAACAAGTGCCACAAAGGAGAGATTCAAGTCAGGTTTGGTTTTACGCTAGTTTTACTCCCCACAAATTAAAAAAAAAGAACATTTCCAAAAGAGAAACAGATTGGTCACAGGACCCTGTCCATGGGATTAGTTTAAATAAAGAAGAAAAGGAAAGAAAGAAAACAAAGAAAAGCAAGCCATTGAAAAAAAAGCGGGCAGAATAGTTTCGTGATGAACACCCTTGTCTCGGGGTAGAATGTCTTGACAGAGAGAAAAAATAGATAGATAGATAGATAGATAAATAAATAGATAGACAGATGTTGTTGTTATCGATCCAGGGATAGATAGATCGATAAATAGATAGATAGATAGAGAGAGAGAGGGGGAGAGAGGGGAGAGAGAGAGAGAGAGAGAGAGAGAGAGAGAGAGAGAG